GAGAAGGGTGTGTGGGGGGTGACGGGCTGTAGTAGAAAGAGGGGGGCATGGTTTGGGGTGGAGGGGTGATGCTTGGGGGGCACAAGGTACAAGCAGGTTGTGTGGAATACGGGGGTTGCTTGAGGGTGCCGGGAAGGGGCCACGGGGGGCGGGAGGGGCAGTAGCCAGCGTTGGCTCTGCTTGGCCGATGTTCAGGGCAGACTTGGGGCGGGGGGGGGGGGGCATGCACGCAGAGCAGCTCCGAGGGCCAGCGGGCTGTGGGGGGCGCAGGGTGAGGTTTGGGGGCTGAGCTGGGGCGGGAGAAGGGAAATGGGGAAGGGTGGTGGGCGGGTAGGAGGGACTGGGGGGAAGGGAGGTGCAGGGCTGGGAGTATTAGAGGGCAACTGAGGCAGTGGTGGGTGGGGCCATAGGTGCTGGAAATAAGGGGATCTGACCTAGGCATGAAATGGCTTCACAGTTCAATTCAATGGCTCTCAGCCCCCCTCTTTCCCCCACTATACAAATTGACCGCCTCCCGTATAGTGTGGGCCTATGACCTGGAGGGGACCCTGTCCCCCCTTGGGGGAGGGGATATCCCAGCAGTCCCTGGGGCGGGGGGAGGTCTGCAGTCTGGGCACCCCAGAGCAGCGTCTGGCCAAGCCCCAGCACAGGGTGGGGCGCTGGGCCTGGCACAGCCTGAACTACAGCAGCATGGGTGGGGGTGGAGGAGGCGAGGGGCCCTGCTGCCCCTCTGGGCCCGTGGGGTGGGGTGGGGATGCTGCAGGTGTGGCGTCCCCCTACCCATATGGTCCCTGCAGATGACTGCAGGGCGGGGCCGCTGGCCCCTGCTGGAGAAGCTGGGGTTAGGGGGCTTTCACAGCTGCTGCTCCAGAATGCCGAGTGCCCCCCCCCCGCAGCTGGGAAACCCCCAGCCCCACTCGTGATGGAGGGGGGGTGTCTTTATCCTCCAGGGGGGAGGCTGTGGGGGGCTGTTCACAGTGCAGGATTCCCTCCCCGGCACTGCCCCACCCTCCTCCAATACACCCCATGGCCCATACCCCTGGTTTGGGTGGGGGGTGGACCAGTTCGGAGCCCTGATCCCTCAGCTCCGTTCAGGGACTGAATTTGGCCATCCCAGGAAGGGGTGGGGGCAGAGAGGCCCCTCTGATTGCTGCAGTGTTGGGGCCAGGTAGCATTCGGGGTGGGGAGGACGTGGTAGGGGGAGGCTCACGGGGTGTTCAGGGAGCGGGCCCAGTGTGTGCATGGGGGGTGCTGGCATGGGGGGGTGGGCATGGCAGGGGCTGGAGGGAGCTGTGTGTGGGTGTGTCCTGCCTACGTCTGACCCTCTTACTGTGCCCCCGCCCCCAGGCTGGAGGAGGAGATACACAGGCGTGAGGATGCAGAGAACAACCTGGTGCTGTTCCGGAAGGTGAGTGTGTGTTTGGGGGGGGTGAGGGGCTCTGGGGTGTGTTCTCCTGCCCCCCTCTTCTGTGCACACACATCCTGGCATGCACTCTTGTTCACGTGCTTGTGCACATGTGTCTTTGATCACATGCACTTTTGCACACTCGTGTACAAACGCGTCCTTGCAAGTACACTGCACCCCTGTGCACAAGCCCTGGAATCGATGGGCTCTCGTTGTCATTTAAAGGCACCGTACCAGCCCCATGTGCACCGGGGGGGGGGGGACGGACACGTGGAGCCGAGAGCCAGACGTCTCCTTGTCCAGGCCGCGTGTGCAAATGCGTGTGATCCAGAGCCCAGCAGTGTGGAGACCTGACCCCAGCTCTTAGGAGCCCCGAGCTGCCAGGGACTGTAGGAGTGGGGAGGGGGGGCTGTGATAGGATCTTCACCTGCCCCAGTGCACACTGCACGCGTGCTCCTCCTTGTCCCGTCGTGCAGACCGGTGGGCACGTGCTCCCAGGGACATCATCCATGCAATGGGGTCCACATGCTTAGTGCATACTCCCAGGCATGTACGCCTCCACGGACACACACGCATGGGGAGAGACATGTATGGCCCACGAGTGCTCACACAGGCATTTGCATACAGACATCCATGTGCAAAAACAGCCCCTCGGGGATGTGTGCCCACACGTGCACAGTCACAGAATATAAAACCTGACCACACCGTGTCCCCATGCACTCCGTGCAAAGAGGGACAGGGCGGGGACTGGACTGCCCTCTGCGTGCCCCACACCCCACCGTGGGCCTGTCCCTGGCACTCGGCCCCCTGCCTCCCTCCTCCACAGGATGTGGACGACGCCACCCTCTCACGCCTGGAGCTGGAACGCAAGATCGAGTCGCTGATGGACGAGATCGAGTTCCTGAAGAAGCTGCACGAGGAGGTAGGGGCAGGGTGGGGGGCCCAAGGGGAGGGATGGGAGGGGGGTGGGAGGGAATTGGGGGGTGGCTTGGTCCCATGGGGGAAGGAGAGGGCCGCAATGGCTCAGGTGGCACATTGATGTGGGACCACTAACCGTTCCGCCCCACTCCCCTCCCCTGCTGGCCCCGGGAGACCCCAGCTGGGTGGGTGGGGTCGGGGGGAGGGGGGGGAGCTCTCCAGTGGCCAAGGTACCTTTCCGCCATCTCGTGGTGAAGAGCAGAACTGCAGATGCAGTGCAGCCCCACCCTGCACCAGGCTGCAGTGCACGGGATGGGGGGGGGGGGGCACAGACAGGCTCACAATTAAACTTCTGGGTGCAGCTGGGGCCCCACATGAGGCAGATTTCAGGATGTCTCGCGGTCTCTCTTGTCCCTGTGCGTGTGGTTGGCGTGTCTCTGCGTGTGGTTGGCGTGTCTGTGCGTGGGGTTGACGTGTGCAGGAGCTGCGTGACCTGCAGGTGAGCGTTCAAAGCCAGCAGGTGCAGGTGGAGATGGAGACGGTCAAGCCAGACCTGACGGCCGCGCTGCGCGACATCCGCACCCAGTACGAGAGCATCGCGGTGAAGAACCTGCAGGAGTCCGAGGAGTGGTACAAGTCCAAGGTACTGGCCCCAGTCTTGGCCCTGGGGTGGAGGCGCCCCATATGCTCTCCGTGCTGGGGGAGCCGGGGGGGAGCAATGGGGCATGGCTGCTCCTGCTGGGGGGAGGGGGAACAACCTCACCTGCAGGGAGCTCCCCCTGCACCTCGCTGGGGTAGCATTTCGGGGGGTCCTAAGACCCCCTCCCTCCCTCTCCCAGTTTGCTGACCTGTCGGACGCGGCCAACCGGAACCACGAGGCGCTGCGCCAGGCCAAGCAGGAGATGAACGAGTCCCGGAGGCAGATCCAGAGCCTAACCTGCGAGGTGGATGGGCTGAAGGGAACCGTGAGTACTGTTCGGTGGGAGGGGGACCCCAGCACCCCCTAGCACTGCTCTGTGGGAAGAGCGCCCCCCAGTGGAGCTCTCTGCAGTAACTGGTTATACTCCCCGTGCCTGAGCAGGGAATCGCAGCCCTGCCGCTTTCTGCAGCAGGCTCCCCCGAACAGCGGCAGTGGGGGAGGTCCAGGCTGGATATTGGGGAAACACTATGTCACTAGGAGGGTGGTGAAGCACTGGAATGGGTTCCCTAGGGAGGTGGTGGAATCTCCTTCCTTAGAGGTTTTTAAGGCCCGGCTTGACAAAGCCCTGGCTGGGATGATTTAGTTGGGAATTGGTCCTGCTTTGAGCAGGGGGTTAGACTAGATACCCCCTGAGGTCCCTTCCCACCCTGAGATTCTAGGATTCTATGAACAGTGGGGAGCAGCTCCCCCAGGATGGGATGTGGGGGGGCGGGGAGAGACTGGACCCCTTCGGACCAGGAGTCCGACCCCTGCCCTCCCCTCCCCCCGTGGCCAGAATGAGGCTCTGCTGCGCCAGATGCGGCAGCTGGAGGACCAGTACGGGGTGGAGGTCGGCAGCTACCAGGACACGGTGGGGCGGCTGGAGCAGGAGATCCAGCACCTGAAGGAGGAGATGGCGCGGCACCTGCGGGAGTACCAGGACCTGCTCAACGTTAAGATGGCGCTGGACATCGAGATCGCCACTTACCGCAAGCTGCTGGAGGGCGAGGAGAACAGGTGGGTGCAGCCCCGGGGAGCCCGGCTGGCAAGCGCCATGGGGGGGTGGCTCTGTCACAAGGGAGGGGCTGTTCCCCTTTGTCCCCCAGGGGGCCGGGTGGGCTGAGGGATAAGCAGGGGCCTTCTGCTACTCATTGTGCTGTTTGCCCCCTCCCCCAGGATCACAATCCCCATCCACTCGCTGGCCTCCCTCAGCATGAAAACGTCGGGTAAGTGTGCAGCCCCAGCCACGTGGGGGTGTCTCTGTCCCTGCCCCCCCAGGAGTCTCCGCCCCTCCCCGGCCAGGTTTTTGGGGGCTCCCCGCATCCCTCCCTGGGTGCCTGGGGCGTCGCTGGCCTCTGCCAATCACGCAGGGTCAGCCGCGTCCAGCTGGTCTCGCTGGGGACCCTGGGCAAGAACTCTGCCGTTGCTGAGCGGTATTGTTAGGGGCAGCGCCTGCCCATTGGGGGATCTTCCCCAGTCCTGGTGCACACTCAGCCCAGGCTTGGAGGCCTCACCCTGGGGGCAGGGGGTCAGCGGCTGCAGCCCCTTCCCCTCTCATGGCCTCCCTGCACCCCCCTGCCCAGTGCCCGAGCCGGAGCAGACCATGGAGAGCCACACCAGGAAAATGGTTCTGATCAAAACCATTGAGACCCGGAATGGAGAGGTGAGTCTCCCCCGTCCGGGGCAGGGAGCTGCCAGGGTGGAATGTGCCAAGCCGAGGGTATCGGGGGCGGGGGGTGTTGGGGGAGGAGGTCAGGGCATGCCCAGGCCTGTGAAGAGGTTCCCTGGGGGTTCAGCTGTCAATCAAATCCCAGCATTACAGGCACATGCAAGGAGAAGTAGCAGTGTCCAGCGGTTAGAGCAGGGAGGCAGGACTCCTGGGTTCTATGACCAGCTGTGGGTGGAGTGAGCTAGTGGTTGGAGCAGGGGATGGGACCCAGGACTCCTGGGTTCTGTTCCTAGCTCTGCCTCTCTTGGGCTAATTGATTCCCCTCTCTGTGCTGGGGATACTGCCGGGGCAGGGGGCTCCAGGATCCTCGGGGGCAGGGGGCGTAGCCGGGCACTGGGGCTGAGGGGACGGCGGGGTGGGAGTCTAATCCTGTGGTCTCTGTTCCATCCCCCACGTGGCAGGTGGTGACTGAGTCGAGGAAGGAGCAGAGAAGCGAGCTGGACAAGTGATCCTGGCGCCAGGCCTCTGCCCTGGACCCAGGCGATGGCGTGAAACTGACGTGCAGAAGCCACTGCGAGACCCCCTGCTGCAGCCCCCCACCCGCTCCCAGCCACACTGGCCTTATGACTACTGATACCTCTGCCAGCCCTGCCGCACTGCCCAGTCCTCCCAGCCCGCCTGCCCTCGTGGGGCGCCCGGCGGGGCGAGCACAGCCAGACCCGCTCACAGCCCAGGGCAGGGGCTCACCCAGGGAAAGGAGCGAGGGGGCCCTGCCTCCTGTTCCCCCATCCCTTTGCCCCCTCATCACATGCAATTTCCTCTGTCCCTCCCCTGGTCTGTGCCCTTGGATCTGACCTGGTTGCTTTTCCTGCCCCAGCCCTGCCTTGGGGGGGACGGGTGGGACTGACCTTCCCAGACTACATGTACTGAGCTGGTAAAGAAGGACCCTGGCTCCCCCTCTGGCCACTGCCCGTGCTGTGCCCATGCAAACGCCGAGACCCGTCACCAGCTCCAGTCCTGCTGCCCAGTCCTGCCATGGTTCCCGCTTGACCCAGTTTGATACCAAAGAGGAGTCTGCTGCTGAAGCGGATTCCAGAGAGGATCGGTCCTGGTTCCGCTATCAATCCTGAACTCCGCAGGGATGTTACCTCCCACCAGCTGTTCCCAGGGCTACACGGTTCCTGCTGAGAGGACTAGGTCAGTGCTGTACCAGAGATGCCTGGTTCTGAGTGTGAGACCAATGTCTGACACGGTGTCTGTTCCCAGCCCCCAATTCTGACACTGATCAGTCCAGAAGCTGCATTTTAGTACAGAAGACCCCCATGGCTGGGACTGTTTACCACTGTTGAATTTCTAGCCCCAGGACGCTCAGCCCAGATTCCTGCTCCCAGGTTAAATCCCACTACAAATGGCTGACGTTGAAGCAGTTCCTAGTCCGGCTACGGACTCTTCCCAATGCTGCTGAATCTCCGTCTTGATTCTCATTCGTGCTGCTAGGAGCAGCTGGGAGTGATCCCTTGCCTAAGACTCGGCCGTTTTGAACACGCGGTACTGATGCCTGCTGTTTGCTCCTGGCACTGATTTCTGCTTTGACCCCAAATCCCAGCGCTGACAGGGATAAGTGTGTCAGGTGCTGCACACCAGTGCTGAGTGAGACAAGGTGGGGGAGCTAATGCCTGTTATGGGACCAACTTCTGTGGGTGAAAGAGACGACAGAAGTTGGTCCAAGAAAAGAGATTAGCTCCTCCAGCTCGTGTCTTTAGTATCCTGGGCCCACCCTGACCACAACCCCGCAACGGGCAATACTGACTGTCCAGTGCAGTCCCTGAGAGTGAATCCTTCCCTAAGGAGCCCTGCTGGGGTGCGGAGTCTCATTTTTGATACGGATCCCTGCCTGCCTGGTAGCATGGGTGCCTCTCTGGGATTTCAGACACGTTTTTAGCTCTCCTGCCCTGATCTGGGAGAGTTTCTTCTCGCCCTTTTCAGCGCTGGCTCCAATACTTGAACAGATGCATGGAACGATGTTTCCGGCTGCCACAGGGTGCTGCTATCCCATCTCAGTAGCGATTCCTGAGCCCAATACCTGCTGCTGACACCAAGCCCTGCTGTGCTTTTCCGCTTCTGCTCCTCTGAGTGCGTCCCGAAGCCTAGTCCTGAGCCTGGCTGCGGCTAAATCTGCAGTCCCAAAATGCTTTCCCCCACTGCCCTCCTCACGGCTGTGCTCTGGCCGCCCACACTGTGCCTGATTCTCAGATCCCCTCCCTTGCCCCAGCCCTGCCTTCGTTAACCAGTGGGCTGGGGTAGGGACCCCTCACCCTGCTGCAACGGGACACGCTGGCGGCTCTGAGTAGCTGCAGGCTAGTTGCTTTGGTGCTCCCTGAACGACGACTTGCCCAGCGCTCGGCCGTGGTGTGGACCGTGCCCCGTCTTGCTTTACTGGCCACTAAAGATCATAGTGAGGAATCGCTTGTGTCTGCTTCTCGTCTGTGCCTCCTTGTCCTAGTGTCTGGTATCTCCACCCACCAATGGAGGGGAAGAAAGGGGGGAGAGGCCTCAACTTTGACCCCTTCAGGCAGTGCCCACTAAAGGGCCCCTGTCTGAGGTGAGCTGGCAGCTCTTAGCCCTAGAGGGCAAGTGGTGCCATCCCAAAATAACCTCACCCCACTTTGACCTAGCAGACCTCCTCTGTTGGCAGCCACTGGAGGGAGGCCAAGGTCCCTGCCTGTGCCTTATAGAAAGTCCCTTTAGGGCAGCATGGGGCATGGTGGTGGCAGTGGGTGAGGGGGAGCTTGCCCATGCTGTCTGCTGTGGGGGTGGCGAGAGGCTGGATTCAGACTAGGGCCCCACAGGCATTGACCCCATGAGCACTAGTGCCTGTTCACCCTTTTCACTGCGGCTCTCGGCCCTGGCCAGCTCTACGCTTCCCGGGAGGGGATGGCCTGTAGGAATCCAGGCAGACAGTGGGGTAAGCTGTGGGCATGCTGTGCAGCGTGAGCCAGGCGCACGGGGTGATCTGTGGGCACAGCAGTGCTGAGGGGGTGGCCTCGGGGCTGTGTGAAGCTGTGCCTGGTTGGCAAGACCTCATACCATGGTATGACCTGGCACCGTGGCACGACGCTGCCGTCTGACCTGGTGGAGCTAGCCTAGGGGAGACCTCACAGCAGGATGGGCACCTGCGGGTGACCCCAGCCAGTGAGAACCATGGGGAGTGTCTGTGGCATGGGCCTGGCCCATGTCCCTCTGGTGTGACCCAGAGCCGGGGCCTGGCCCCATGTGACCCCTTGGCGTGAGCTGGCCCCATGTGACCCCTTGGCGTGAGCTGGAGCCGGGGCCCGGCCCCTGTGACCCCTTGGCGTGACCTGGAGCCGGGGCCCGGCCCCATGTGACCCCTTGGCGTGAGCTGGAGCTGGGCCCCCTGATGTGATGGGTGGGCCTCTCCTCCCACCCGACCCTCGGAGGACCCAGCCTATCCCACAAGTCCATCCGCCCGCCGCTCTACCCACGCCCTTCTCTATGGTCTAGACGCCCCAGCTCCCTTCAGCTCAGATCTCGCGAGATCGTCGACTTCCGCTGGGCGACCTTGCCCCGCCCCCCTCGCGCCTGATAGGCCGGAACGGGAGGTGGGAGGTGACCAATCCGTCCCCGCAGCTCCGCCCTACGCCTTGCCGTCGTCCTCGCCCCGCCTCCCTTGCTCCCGATTGGCTCGCTCTACGCTCGACCCCGCCCCGGGGGGAGGAAAGTGACCAATCAGCGCCGTTGGTATTTTACAAACCGGCGGGGAGCTGCCGCTTGCTTCCAAGGCGCTGGGCTGAGCCGAGCGGACGCAACCGAATCAACCAGGAGCAGGTGGGGGGGAGAGTCCTGGGGGGCGGGAGCGTGGGGGGGGCTCCCTGGCTGGGGGGCCCCGGCT